CTGCCACTGCCGCTAAACCGTACAGCTTCAGATCTTTCCCGATGTTTCTGTCCCCCGCCTTTCTCAGAATTAGGGACACTGTAATGTACAACAATAACCCAGCTACTATCTCTCATTCTCTTGGAAAAAATGCTGAAGTTTGCTCCACTTCTCAGAATCACAGGACACTGTTCCTCTATTTTAACAGAAGTGGATGGTTATAAAAGTGCTGCCAACGGCCACTGAGAGACTGGGTCAGACTGAGAGGCACAACAGTCCAAGAATACTGGTGACATCACGGGACAGCTTCCTGAAGAAAACAAAAAGTGGGGTTCCTTGTGGCAGTTGTGGGGGTGGAGAGGATTCTGATTTGTAAAGCTCTATCATCTGAGGGAAGAGTTCCTGCCAGCAGAGCACAACATCTACTCATCTCCAGTGCTGGGGTAAAACCCTGAAACGTGTTGAAGGCACATGTCTGTTTTTCCTGTGCTGGCCTGTCTTCCTGTAAGAAAGGATGCCACATAATGTCATAAGCCTCAGAGGAACCAGGTGTGATTCCTAATAAGGAAGGGCCACACCTCAGCCATTCCAATCTAGTGAAAAATCTATTCTATTTTTAAGAAATTCAAGAGAAAGAGTCCAGGATCTTCCTTATACTGCTTCTAGGACTCCATCTATTGACCTTCACTGTCAGGAAATTATTCTTCGTCTTATTTAAATGATTCTCACTAAGGCTAAAAAGGACATTTCCCTTTCTTGGCTTTCAAAATATGCAGGAGAAAAATGGAGAAACTAATTTTAAAGGAATAACCATATGAAGATAAGACTTGAGAATTTTAGGGATCCCTGGATGGCGCAGCGGTTTAGCGCCTGCCTTTGGCCCAGGGCGCGATCCCGGAGCCTCGGGATCGAATCCCACGTCGGGCTCCCGGTGCATGGAGCCTGCTTCTCCCTCTGCCTGTGTCTCTGCCTCTCTCTCTCTGTGACTATCATAAATAAATAAAAAATAAAAATAAAAAAAAATAGTTCTTTTAAAAAAAAAGACTTGAGAATTTTACTTTAATACAAAACATTCACAACACTCTCTTAGCTGGCTACATAAGCATCAGGAGGAGGCTGACAGGCATACATAATGGCAGCCTCTCTCATTCTTTTTTTTTTTTTAAGATTTTATTTATTTATTCATGAGAGACAGTGAGAGGCAGAGACATAGGCAGAGGGAGAAGCAGGCTCCCTGCGGGGAACACAAAGTGGGACTCGATCCCAGGGCTCTGGGATCATGACCTGAGCCAAAGGCAGACGCTCAACCACTGAGCCACCCGGGTGCCCCCTCTCTCATTCTGATGCTGGCTTTTTTTTGAGTACATTTCTAATTGGTTGAAACAGTTTTGGGCAACAGGGCAAATAACACTGTCTCCTGTTTCTAGGTTGGATGGGAGGGATCTAGCTGGACACCTGCCACATAGAGACGACCAAGGTTGGAGGCTTGGTTTTGTTACTGAAAGTTCACATCATCATTCCCCTGCTGTCCTTAAGTGGAATTTAAGGATTAAAGGAGAACCTTCCAAATATTAAATCCTAGTATGTGTACTCTTGACCTTTGCCCTTACCCCTGTAAGGGTAATGTGGGATTTACTCAGGGCAATCAGGGATTTGGAAGCACAGATTCCTCTCAGTAATCTCAAAGGGCTTTGTAAGAAGCATTAACTGTTGAGATTATGGCCATTTTGCTCCATAACTCGAAGAAGGGAAACGCTAGTCACAGGGGCCAGGTCTCTGCCACCATAGGAAATGATCTGTTTGGGTGTCTGGTTACCAGAATCCATCTGGTGGGAGGGAGGGGGGAAGAATCCTTATTAGTTGCTAATTCCAAGACATCTCACTTTTCTTTTATGCTGCTGGAGTTTTATGAGATGTTGCCTTCGATGTATCTCTTACCTAGTGGCTGAAAAACTAGACCTCCCACTCCTGCTGCTATTTCTAATGTCAACCACTCTTGTGTAAACTCACTTGCTTCTCTGGGGGAAAGAAAACACCTCTTCCAATCCTGCCTCTCCATCTTACAAACCTGGTCAGGTAAACACCCACCCACCCCAACTCCGCAAACTCAGATCAGAAGACAGAGAAGGGGGGCAGCCCGGGTGGCTTAGCAGTTTAGCGCCGCCTTCAGCCCAGGGCGTGATCCTGGAGTCCCGGGATCAAGTCCCACATCGGACTCCCTTCGTGGAGCCTGCTTCTCCCTCTGCCTGTGTCTCTACCTCCCTCTCTGTGTGTCTCTCATGAATAAATAAATAAGATCTTTAAAAAAAAAAAAAAAAGACAGAGAAGGGCGCTTCTTCATCTAAAGCTCATCACAAATAGGCTGAAATACTTCACAGTGACAACAGCAAAACCTTCCGCACTTAATGTACTTTGATGACTAAAGTATAAATGAACCTGCAAGGTTGTCACTCTCTGGACTTACAGTATCAAAAAGACAAGTATGGGACCCAAATGTTCTATGAAAAACTAGCACTGGTCCAAATGAACTCAAGAGGGATTCCCTTTAAGAAAGGATTGTCAAAAGAACATAATCCTGGACAAGGGAACTTTGTAGAGGAGAAAGAAAAGTCATATTTAACTTGGTGTCCGGCCAATAGTTTTAACCTTGCTCCTCTGTATTTTGCTGAAGTCTGCTTTGTAATAATGCCGAAAGGAGTTCAGAAGTGTTCCTTTTTCTATCTATGGTTTTTTGTGCTAAACTAAATCCCCTGCCAAGCAATTGGTTCTATGACAAAAAGTCCTTAGGGGAAATAATACCAAGGCATTTTGGGATTAGCCTGTTCTTTCATTCCACAAGGATTTGTTTAGTGACATTTGTGCCAGGCATGGGGCTGGGTGCTGGGTATACACAGTGACCACAGCGTAGACCCAGCCCTCCAACCACTGGTGGCTCTGGGCAACAAGGTAAACAGGCAAGGACAGTGAGCTGTGACACTGAGTTGTGACAGTGCTGTGAAAGGGATGTGTGGGGGTGGGGGGACTCAGCTAAGAACCAGACTTGGGAGGAGCAGCAGGTAGAGCCAAGAGCTTGGGGAAAAAGCATCTTCTAGGCTGTGAACTGGAGGCTTGGCAGAAACCAGCCAGGCAAAGAGGTGCAAGCATAGGAAGCAGAGTTCTAGAAAGAGGGAGTAACATGTGACATGTGTTCCGAAGAGGGTGGGAAGAGTATGACTTCTCTTGCTTGGCTTAATTCGACATCTTCTGGATTGTGAAGGGCTGAGGATGACCCTTCCAAGCTATGAACAGAAGCAACTAAGTATCTTTTCTGTGATTCAAGTCCACCTTCCAATGCCCTGACTCACATCTTCCCCTGACACACCATACTTCACAGCCACTTGAGGTCTCATTTCCTGTTTCAGAGACTGGCTGCTTTCTAAGCCTCTAAGAGTTGATCTAAAAAAAAAAAAAGTATCGAAAAAACACTGGGGCACTCACCTATAAATTCTTCATGCTGATTCTTAACAACTGAAAGCTCCACTTTGTGATTTCGCTAACAGGAAAGATCTTGCTCACTTCACAGCTACTATCTACTGTCTCACCTCCCCCCCCCCAAATCCAAACCACAAGTTTGACTCTTAATAAGACCATAGGTCTTGGAACCTAGCCTAATAAGGTCATAATCCAAAACATGGGAGAACTCTGTATACAGGGATAAATTAATGACATTTACTGGTAATAGCAGAAAAACGGTAAAACAAAGAAACAAAAGCCTTAAATGTACCCAAATGGGTGAACGATTAGACAATAATGGTATATCCATTTCTGGAATTTATGCTGATATTAACAAAGATGAACTTAAAGTAACTTGGAAAATGCCAATAAAACGCAATGTTAGGAGGAAAAATAAAATACAATTACACATTACAATATAACCATGTAAGAAACAGAAGTATGAAAAACGCTGGAAAGAAATTTGCTGAAATGAAGCCAGCAGGTGAGTGAGTGCTGTGATTATGAGCTTTTCCCTACTTTCTCTGTTCCCTATGTTGCGTTTATAATTTAAATCTAATTTAAAGTATTAACTTCTTTAAGTTAGCAATTCGAACATTTTCAAATCCAAGGGAACATGAGATAAGAGTAGTTCTCTGTGAAAATCTTCCCATTGCAGCAGTATCATCCCTCTCCAGTGAATGAGGATGCAGGTGTCATTTCAACCTACTGATGAACTACAACTTCTTTGGCAAAGTGTTCTGGATAATGAGGAGCACTGCCCTAAGACTGTGATAGACATTTGAGCATTTCTAGCAAATACGGATATAAAAGTTGGAGTTGAACAACAGATTTGGAATTAAGGTTCTTTAAATCATGTTGGGTAGCTTCGTGATTCTTTAGGGCTCTAAGTAAAATGATTTCTTTCGAGCGCCAGCTGAACGAGACCAGGATCTCTGATTTCAGTCAGAATCAGACTCCTCTGACTCTGATGGGTGCTCAGTTTGGAGATGGACTGAATGATTTCCTGCTGTCCATGGACACATAGATGTTCAAGGGTGACACAATGTGGACACACGGGATGAGGGTTACTCAGCCCTCGGAGGGGAGACAGAGCCAAGAGACTGCCTCTCTTTCCCCACACCCATGAAAGATGACCCTGAAAACAGCAAATGGTTTTCCACCCCTCTCCAAGTAGCAAAGATGACCAAATCAGCTCCAGTTGCAGCAAGACGGATTTACGTTATATTATAGTGAACTCCTGCAAGTAGAAATCGCTAACGGCAGTCCGGGAATTTCCTTTTCTCGAGATTTGCAACAATAGGTTAGATATACATCTGGCCTTGAATGCCTTAGGCGTGGTGTACAAGAAACAGAATGATCAAAAATAGCACTCACACACAGAAATGCCATGGTGCGCCACGCTTCTCTATCTCTACCAGATACCAATTTAAAAAACATTTTATTCTTCCCCACCCATTGGCTGAATTGGGAGTCTAAACCGCACCAGCCTCAGAAGAAACTTAGAACATTGGCCAAAAGTCATTTACCTGTACTAGGAGTTCCAGCTTCCGGTCATCGAGAAGATGTACTTGACATCGACGGCCCTCCGTCATCTACAAAGAAAGACAAATGATGGTCACTGAGTCACTGAGGGTCTGGCAGCCTGACAAAGGGTGAGCGGGGCCCGTGCTGGACTCCGCCAGGCAAAACTTGCCCTGGGAGATGGAGCCAGACAATGCCAAGGAGTGGCAGGACTGGTTCATTCCTTCCTTCCTTCAGAAATACTTATGGAGCACTTCCTACGTGCCAGGCACTATTCTGGGAGCTGGGTGCACAGCGGCACATGAGACAAGGTTCCTGTCCGCAGGGAGCTTACATTCTTAAGGGGGAGATCTAAAATAAATTAGCAAACACATTCCTAACCTAACACCAGCTGGTGATAAGTGTTTCATGCTTTAATCATTCTTCCATTCAATAATTTTATCCCCACACATTAGGGACAGATTTCAGTATCTGGGCTCTGCCACCTTGTCCCCTTTACTGAGCACCCTGGAGCAGATGAGCACCCCTCTGGGAACTGCATCTGATTTCTGGGAACTCCTTTTCCTCAGAATTTCTGTGTTAATCGTTTATTACCTAGTCCCTCCAGTGTTTTCACCTGTGATAGAGGAACCCAGGAGCCAGTCACGGCTATACCTGACCCCTAACCCTTGCTCCTTTCCCTACTCACACTGCTGGTGACATTCGAGAAAGAGCACCCCGAAAGGCCTGGGGAGACCCACGTCAGGTCTTGGCTGCAAGGCTTTGGACAAGTGTCCCTTCATCTCTGCAGCCCCGTCTCATATACAAAAGGGAGTGGGCTGAGCCCAGGGAAGTGCTGCTGAAATGTTGAATCATTGGCTTTCTGGGAGGAAAAAGCCTTAATTCGTAGCATTTGCTAGTGCCCTGGCAATGCTCTCAAAGGAAATCCTTTAAAGAATGAGGCTTCTCATTGATGTCAGCTGGCCACCACTTTAACCAAAACTTGTCCTGCCACACTCCAGATACTTTCACTGGGTCTGATTTTAAGCTACCGTCCTGACAAACATATCTTCTACACATACTGTAGACTTAAATAAGCCCAGGGGCGTAGATGATAGTATAGTCAAATAATTAGGGAATTTTCTATCCGTTAGTGATGGGTTTTGAGTACTTATTACCTTTGTTTTTAATGTACTCTAAATTCATAGAATTTGATTTTAATAATGATGATGTTTTACCACTGGCACGCAGAATTCCCCAAGATGTACCAACTGGCTCTCACAACAGGGAAGAGCTGGCTCTAACCTCACCGTCTAGACCAGAAGACCCAGAAGCTTCCTTCTGGTCCACGTATTTTTCTATGACTCCAGAGGCCCCAATGAAACCACCTTTTTTGCCCAGCTGGCAGCCACTGCACGCAGCTCAAGGGGAGGGAAGCACATGAGCAGATCCTGGCCTCATCTCATTACAGCCACCGCAGTCCCTTCTCACGAGCACTTTCTCCAGGAATGACACAATAGGTAGCATCTTCTCTTCCTGTTCAACAGGGATTGCCCGCTAACTGTCAGCATGTCCAAAGCTGGCAGGGACTCCTGTGGGAAAATTCTTATTCCTTCCTCAGAAGGAGCCAACCCTTCCAACTACCAACGAGTCAGATTTCCCTAGTTCTGGGATCTTAACCAAAATAGCACACGTGCTTGGATGGAGCCAAAATAAAGTCTCTTGAATCTGAGTTATAAGAATGACCTAGCAGTCCTCAGCTCTGGAAAATGCACCAAGAGAAGTTTCACCTACTCACTGGCATTTCAACAGAGGTTAAAATAGAGTAAAAACCAAGGAAACCTTCACTCCAAGGGTCTGCCATTTTGCACATATATGCTGAAGCTGGTGGCCATGGACAAGAGATGGGTCTATGAAAACTCCAATTCATTCTTTGAACTCTTAACTCTGTTCACTGCCTTAAAAGGAGAATGGGCTCCAATCCCATTAGAATCCACCAACTTTGCACATAGGAGGCATCCTAGCTGACAGACTTAATTTTTAAAAATCCATCAGCTTCAAAAAATAAGTGGGCAGACATCATAATAAAAAGTTCCTGCTGTATGCTGGCAAATCAAACTTAAATAAAAACAAATGGTAAAAAAAAAAAAAAAAAAACAAAAAACTCCTGCACAGCAAAGGAAACCATCAACAAAATGAAAAGACAACTTACTAAATGGAAGACAATACTTTCCAATCATATATCTGAAAAAGGGTTAATAACTATTTTTTTTTCTTTTTAGATTTTATTTATTCATGAGAGTCAGAGAGAGAGGCAGAGACACAGGCAAAGGGAGAAGCAGACTCCATTCAGGGAGCCTGACATGGGACTCGATCCCGGGACTCCAGGATCACACCCTGGGCCAAAGGCAGTCAACCGCTGAGCCACTCAGGCGTCCCATAATTATTAATAAATATATAACGAATGCAGATGACTCAATAGCAAAGCCCCAAACGATCCTATTAAACAAAATGGGCAAAGAATCTGAATAGACACTTCCCCAAAGAAGACATACAGACAGCCAACAGACATATGAAAAGATGCTCGACATCACTCATCATCAGGCAAATTCAAATTAAAACTACAATGAAATATCAACCTCGCACGTGTTAGAATGCCTATTATGAAAAAGTCAAGCAATAACAAGCATTGATGAGGATGTGGAGTAAAGGGAACCCTCATGCACTGCTGGTGGGAATGTCCCATTACTGTAGCCGCTGTGGAAACCAGTAAGGAGGGTCCTCAAAAAATTAAAAGTGGAGCCACCATATGATCCAGGAATTCCAATTCTGGGTATTTACCCGAAGAAGAGGAGAACACTGATTCAAAAAGACAAATGTTGCCCCATTTTCACTGCAGCATTCTGTATGATTGGTAAGACACAGAAACCAAAGTGTCCATTGGTGGATAAACGGATAAAGAACAGGTGGTGTAGGTACACAGTGGAATATTATTCAGCTAAAGAAAGAAGAAAATCTTGCCAATGGTGACACCATGGATAGTGTCCTGAGGGCATGATGCTAAGTGAAATTAAGTCAGAGGAAGACATATAATCTCATGTGGAATCTAAATAAACAAAACACCAAATCCGTGGATACAGAGAACAGACTGGTAGTTGCCAGAGTTGGGGTGTGAGAGGAGTGAGGGAAATTGGTGAAACGAGTCCAAAGTGTAAAAGGTACAGATTTCCAGAAGTTCAGCTCTTAATCGTAAGAACCGAAAGTTAAGACAGTGGAAGTTCAAGGAAGAAAAGTGCTACGACCATCCAGCATACTATTATGAAATTCCTTTACAGACATTTATTAAAGGTTTCAGAAAATTCTCTGAAGGGTGGGGACGGAAGAGAATTTTTTAAAAAAAATGCTGCTGGCCCTTAGCATCTTTAGAACCCACAGTTTTAAGCTTCATTTAATCCTAAAAAGCTAAAGATATAAACACGTTCTTGACTTCCTTAACCACATTCAAATAAATCTGATAAAAACAAAGGGAAGTTGGTATCGCCAAGGCATTACTGTATCAAATGAAGTTTTATTTTTATTTTATTTTATTTTTTTTATCAAATGAAGTTTTAACTGCAATCATAAAGAGGTAGCATATCATTTTCTCAAAATATTTCAAAGCACACAAAGCATGACGTGACACCGAGTGCATAGCCATACCTAGAGTTTACTGTGAGGCTCTCATTTTCATCTGAAAAAGAAAATTCTCATTCCATTAAATAATCTCACCTTATCTGCTCAGCAGTTGAAGGAATAAACTATACACCAAGATGTTAAGATCTACTCAGAGTTTTCCAAGCTCATTCTTCTCTTAAAAAAAAAAAAAAAAGCCTCAATTTTCAGTTCTGGGGAATTTTTTAAATAAGCATGCTCCCTATTTTAAACAGGAGAATTTATAAGCTGCCTCTCTTTTGGAAGGCAAAACGTCCCTGAAAAAAGGCAGTCCAGAGAAGAGCGTCCAAACGGAAACTCAACTTTGAATCATCATGTTTTTGAAAGTACGCCTGTCTTTTGACGGTGCTGCTGGGTTTTTTTGTTTTTTTTTGTTTTTTTTTTTTTCTCAAAGGGGGGATGGTTTGTTGTTTCATATTGAAGGAAGACTGGAGTATCCTGTTCTCATCAGTTGAGAAAAGGTTTACCATTCTGGGTGTGTACGGGGACAGAGTGGACATCTGTAGCTTTGTCTGGCTTTCCACACATACTGAAATTTTCTTTTGAATACTAACAATTGTAAAATAATACTGCTTTGCTTGTTTTCATTTTCAGCTGCTCATGCACAATTGCAGCATTGGCATCCCCCTCAGAGGAAATCCTTTTGGAGAACAAGGCTTCTTGTAGATGTCAGCTGGCTACCACTCCAACAGAAATCGTCTTGCTACAATACAATTCTACACCAAGCACGGGCCTGCCAAATGCACTGTGATTCCAAAGGATACACAGAAAAGTATTATTTTGGAGGTGAGGTGTCCACCCCATTGATCCAACTTTGCTGTTAAGACACACAAGGAATCAGGAAGGTTATTCATAAACAGAGAAATGCATTTACGATACTAGCTTAAGTGAGCATAGCAGAATATGAAATGCTATATGTACTGTACTATAAAGGCGGCCAATAAAATTACCATGCATTTGGACAGGAATTGGGAGACAAAAATAAAATAGCTGATGTGCTAGGGGAGTAGGCTAATGGGTAGTTCCCTCCCATCCCATCCCATCACTTTTTTTTTTTCAGTTAAAAAAAAATTTAGAAAAAAGAAACTTTATCTCGAAAAATGAACGACAGTATTTGAGGTCAGCCATAGGAAAAGGATCTTGAGAAGCTTTGTTCCCAATGAATTTGTTTTAGATTGTCTATGGTTTTAACGTATCAAATCAAATCAATTAGTTTACGAACGAGAATTACAATTGTCACACAGGTCAGAATACTGGAGGTGGAAGGTCTGACATATTCTCCCCCTGCAGGTGGAATGAATGGGAAGCCAACTGCGATCAGAAGTTGCTCAGGGCGATGCCAGGGTGGTTCAGTGGTTGAGTGTCTGCGTTTGGCTCAGGG